TTTAGAACCATAAATAAAACATGCCCTCAAAAAGAGTCAGATAGTTAGAAATGAAGTTATCAAGGAGAGAAAAGACGTGCACACTGCAAACTATGAAATGTTGCTGAAAGAAACAAAAGAATACACCAATCAATGGAAAAACATCTCTTGTTTATAGATTGGAAGACTTAATGTTGTTAAGATGTCAATACTACCCAAAGCAATCTACAAATTCAGTGCAATCCCTATCAAAACTTTTACAACATTCTTTTCCAGAAATAGAAAAGTCCATCCTAAGATTCATAAGAAGACCAAAGTTGGAGGACTCACACATCCTGATTTTAAAACTTACAGCAAAGCTACAGTAATCAAGACTGTGTAGTACTGGCATAAAGATGAGCCCAGAAACAAACCCTCACACAGGTGGTCAAATGAGTTTTGACAAGGTTGCCTAGACCATTCAATGGGGAAAACACAGTCTTTTCAACAAATGGCATTGGGAAAACTGGGTACTCACATACAAAAGAATGAAGTGGGACCTGGCCGGGTGCGGTGGCTCATGCCTGCAGTCCCAGCACTTTGGGAGGCTGAGGTGGGCAGATCACGAGGTCAGGAGATAGGGACCATCCTGACCAACATGGTGAAACCCTGTCTGTATTAAAAATACAAAAATTAGCCGGGCGTGTTGGCGGGTGCCTGTAGTCCCAGCTACTCGGGAGGCTGAGGCAGGAGAATCGCTTGAACCTGGGAGGCAGAGATTGCAGTGAGCCGAGATCGCGCCACTGCACACCAGCTTGGTGACACAGCAAGACTCTGTCTCAAAAATAAAAATAAAAATAAAGAATGAGGTGGGACCCTTACCTTCACAACACATACAAAGATTAGCTCAAAATGGATCAAACACCTAAACCTAAGAGTTAAAACTATAATGTTTGAGAAGAAAACATAGGGGAAAGATTCCATGACATTGGATTTGAATGATTTCTTGGCTATGACACCAAAAGCTCAGGCGACAAAAATAAAAATAGATAAATTGGACTACATAAAAATGTAAAATGCCTCTGCATTAAAGGGGCCAGTCAGCAAGAAAAGGCAGGCCACAGAATGGGGGAGATACTCGAAAAATCATATAACTGATAAGGAGTTAATATCCAGAATATCTAAAGAACTCCTACAACTCAGCAAAACAGCCTGATTTTTTAAATGTGTGAAATACTTAAATAGACATTTCTCCAAAGAATATAACATCTGCAAATGACCAATAAGCACATGAAAAGATCCTCAACATCTCTGTCATTAGGAAAATGAAAATAAAAATTACAGTGAGATACTTGACACCCACTAGGATGGCTACTAATTTAAAAAAAAAAAAAAAAAAAGAGCCAAGGCAGGCAGATCACTTGAGCTCAAGAGTTTGAGACCAGCCTGGGCAACATGGTGAAACCCCATCTCTACTAAAAATACAAAAACTAGCCGGGTGTGGTAGCACGTGCCTGTGGTCCCAGCTACTCCGGAGGCTGAGGTGAGAGGATTGCTTGAGCCCAGAGGGTCAAGGCTGCAGTGAGCCAAGATCATGCCACTACACTCCAGCCTGGGTGACAGAGCAAGACCCTCCCTGTCTCTAAAAATAAAACTAGTGCTCGCTTCAGCAGCGTATAAACTAAAATTGGAACGGTACAGAGATTAGCACGGCCCCTGCTCAAGGATGACATGCAAATTCGTGAAGCAGTTGCATATTTTTAATAAGTGGTGTTGGGAAAACTGGATATTCATATGCAGAATGAAACTAGACCCCTCTCTCACTGTATACAAAAATCAAATCAAAATGGATTAAAGAAATCTAAGACCTCGGCCGGGTGCAGTGGCTCACACCTGTAATCCCAGCACTTTGGGAGGCTGAGGCGGGCGGATCACGAGGTCAGGAGATTGAGACCATCCTGGCTAACACGGTGAAACCCCGTCCCTACTAAAAATTCAAAAAAATTAGCCGGGCATTGTGGCAGGCACCTGTAGTCCCAGCTACTCGGGAGGCTGAGGCAGGAGAATTGCTTGAACCTGGGAGGTGGAGGTTGCAGGTGAGCGGAGATCACATCACTGCACTCCAGCCTGGGCGACAAGAGCAAGACTCCATCTCAAAAAAAAAAAAAAAAAATCTGAGACCTCAGACTGTGACACTGTGACAAGAAAACATTGGGGAAAATCTGCAGGACGTTGGTCTAGGCAAAAATTCCTTGAGCAATACCCCACAAGCACAGGCAACCAAAGCAAACAGGGACAAATGGGATCACATCAGGCTAAAAAGCTTCTGCACAGCAAAGGATGCAATCAATAAAGTGAAGAGACGACCCACAGAATGGGAGAAAATATTTGCAAACTACCCATCTGACAAGGGATTAATAACTAGAATATATAAGGAGCTCAAACAACTCTATAGGAAAATAATTAATAATCTGATCAAAAGATGGGCAAAAGATTTGAGTAGACATTTCTCAGAAGACAGACAAATGGCAAACAGGCATATGAAAAGGTGCTCAACATCATTGATCATTAGAGAAATGCAAATGAAAACCACAATGAGATACTATCTCATACCAGTTAAAATGGCTTATCCAAAAGACAAGCAATAACAAATGCTGGAGAGGATGTGGGGAAAAGGGAACCCTCGTACTCTGTTGTTAGGAATGTAAATTAGTACAACCACTATAAAGAACAGTTTGGATGTTGCTTAAAAAAGTAAAATTGAGCTATCATATATTCAGCAGTCCCACTGCTGGGCACATACCCCAAAGAAAGAAAATCAGTATATCAAAGAGATATCTGCACTCCTATGTTTGTCACAGCACTGTTGACAATAGCTAAGTGTCCATCAACAGATGAATGAATAAAAAAAATATGGTATATATACACAATGGAGTACTATTCAGCCATGAAAAAGAATGAGATCCAGTCATTTGCAACAACATGGATGGAACTGGAGATCTTTATGTTAAGTGAAATAAGCCAAGTACAGAAAGATAAACATCACATGTTCTCACATATTAATGGGATCTAAAAATCAAAACAATTGAACTCACGGACTGAGACAGTAGAAGAATGGTTACCAGAGACTGGGAGGGGTAGTGGGGAGGGGGATGGTCAATGGGTACAAAAAAAGTTAGAATAAATAAGACCCACTTGATAGCACAACAGGGTGATTATAGTCAACAATAACTTAATTGTACATTTTAAAATAATATTAAGAATGTAATTGGATTGTTTGTAACTCAAAGGATAAATGCTTGAGGGGATGAATACCCCATTCCCATTCTCCATGATATGCTTATTTCACATTGGATGCCTGTATCAAAACATCTCATGTGTCTCTTAAATATATACACCTACTACGTACCCACAGAAACTAAAAATAAGTTTTAAAAAGTAAGTGTTAATGTCCTCATGGAGAAATTGGAACCGCTGCTGTGTACTGTTTTTTGTTTTTTAGGGTTGGTTGGTTTGTTTGAGACAGAGTCTGGCTCTGTCACCCAGGCCGGAGTGCAGTGATACGATCTTGGCTCACTGCAAACTCTGCCTCCCGGGTTCACGCCATTCTCCTGCCTCAGCCTCCCGAGTAGCTGGGACTACAGGCACACACCACCAGGCCCGGCTAATTTTTGTACTTTCAGTAGAGATGGGGTTTTGCCATGTTGGCCAGGCTGGTCTCGAACTCTTGTCCTCAAGCGATCTGCCTGCCTCAGCCTCCCAAAGAAAGTGCTGAGATGACAGGTGTGAGCCACCACGCCCGGCCCTGTGCACTGTCAGTGGGAATGTGAAATGGTGCAGCCACTGTGGAAAACAAGATGGCAGTTCTTCCAAATATTACACAGATACCTTGCAACTATGTATCACTATTATGCATCAATTAAAAATAAATAAAAAATAGAATGGGAAAAAAATAAAAATAGAACTGCCATATGATCCAGCAATTTCATTTCTTGGGTGTACACCCAAAATAACTGAAAACAGAGGCATGAGCAGATACTTGTAGCCCCATGTTCGTGGCAGCATTATTCACAGTTGACGAAAGGTGGAAGCAACCTAAGTGTCCGTAAACAGAAGAGTGAATAAACAACTTCAGTGTGTGCCAGTGGAATGTCACTCAGCCCTGTAACGGAAAGAAATTCTAGCACTTGCTACAACATGGATGAACCTCGCAGACATTATGCTAAGTGAAGTAAGCCAGTCGCAAAAGGACAAACGCTATAAGATCCCCTTATGTGAAGTACCAAGAGTAGACAAGTTCATAGAGACTGAAAATAGAGTGATGGTTGCCAGCACTGGAAGGAGGGGGAATGGAAGGTTCCTGTTTAATGGGAACAGAGTGTCCGTTTTGCAAGATGAAGAGTTATGTGGATGGATGGTAGTGAGGGTTGCAAGACACTGTGAATGTGCTTAATGCCACTGAACTGTATGCTGAAAACAGGTAAGATGGTAAATTCTGCGTTGATGTGTATTTTAGCACAATTTTTTTATTTTTTTGTTTTTATTTTACTTTAAGTCCTGGGGTACATGTGCAGAACGTGCAGGTTTGTTACACAGGTATACATGTGCTATGGTGGTTTGCTGCACCTATCAATCCGTCATCTAGGTTTTAAGCCCCACATGCATTAGATATTTGTCCAAATGCTCTCCCATCCCTTGCCCCCCACCCCCCAACAGGCCCTGGTGTGTAGTGTTCCCCTCCCTGTGTCCATGTGTTCTCCTTGTTCACCTCCCACTTATGAGTGAGAACATGCAGCGTTTGGTTTTCTGTTCCTGTGTTAGTTTGCTGAGAATGATGGCTTCCAGTTTCATCCATGTCCCTACAAAAGACATGAACTCATTCTTTTTTATGGCTGCATAGTATTCCATGGTGTATATGTGCCGCATTTTCTTTATCCAGTCTATCATTGATGGGCATTTGGCTTGGTTCCAAGTCTTTGCTGTTGTAAATAGTGGCACAATTTTTAGACGATTGTTTTTTAATCCATTATAATATTATTAACTCCTTGTATTTATAGCATTTTATTTCCTTTTGCTTGCTTTTGGAGAGAACATACAGAAATTTGTGATTTAAGGCCGGGCATGGTGGCTCACACCTGCAATCCCAGGACTTTGGGAGGCTGAGGCCAGAGGATCACTTGAGCCCAGGAGTTAAAGACTACTGTGGGCAACATAGTAGAGACCTCATCTCTATTGAAAATGAAAAAAATGAGCAGGTGTGGTGACACAAGCCTGTGGTCCCGACTCTGCAGGAGGCTGAGGCAGGAGGATCACTTGGGCCCACGAGGTCAAGGCTGCAGTGAGCAGAAATCATACCACTTCACTCCAGCCTGGGTGACAGAGCAGGACCCTGCCTCCAAAAAAACAAACCACAGAAATTTGTCATTTTTACTATGAGCACTATTCCTGAGGGGTTTGTTCAGAAGTATTTAAATGTTCTTTTTTTGCTTGAGAATTGATTATTCACTTTCCCTTTCTTCTAAAAGTTATAGGGATTTGGGGGTGGTGGTTTTGATTGATTTTTATTTAACTGTTTAAGCCATCTCAAATTTTATTTTGGTGTGATGTGAAAACACTTTGACTTTTTTCTGCATATAGTTAATCAGTTGTCTGCCCCAAGATTGCCAAGCAATTATCTAATTCTTCCCCTTCCACTGATTTGAGATACACTCTTTATTATATTACATTTGTGTCAATATATTTCTCAGTTTGGGGCTGTGGCTTCTGTTCCATTAATCTGCCTCTTTTGCCCCATCACACTGTCATTAATTCATACAGCTTTACAGTTGGTAGGACTAGCCTTTCTCATTAGTAGTGTTCTCATTCTTCTTGTTCTTTTAGTTTTTGCAGGTGAACTTTCGAATACTTTTGCTAAGTACCTGGAAAAATAGAGGCCCACCAGAATTTTAATTGGAAATACTTTAAACCTGTAGATCAGTTTGGGGGAAAATTATCAGCATAGCTGCAGTATTTATATTTTTATATTTCCAATTCAGAAGTATACCTTACCTTTATTCAAGTCTTCTTTTCTTCCCTCATATTATTTGTTTATTATTTCTATCTTAGAGTCTGTTTTATCAGTGATGGCCAGATCAGCCTTGGAATTCTTTAAAGAACTACTTACATGCATAGGGTTTCAAAAGAGCGTGGGGTAAATCACTAATAAAGGCGAGATCCTTTGATCTGAGATCATTAGGAAAAATACATCAAAAAGTGTCTTCCCTTTCTTGGACTGCTATTCCGTATATTAGATATAAAGCTCTCAGGAGCCTTTCCCCCTTATTTCTGTATTCCACTCATCAGCACAGTCATAGGCTAGGCACATTTTTTCATCTTATCTCATATGAAATATTAAATCATTGGCGAGCAGTTCTCTGTCTCTTTAAAGCCCAGATCTTCAATAAGCATCTGCTCCTGGGCTCCTTCCTGAGCCACTGAACGCCTCGTTCCTAATTGTGTCTGAGTTCATCTGGCATCACTCGGAGGAGGAGGACGAGGCTGGGGTATGTGGCAGTGAGAGCCATCAACACTGCTTCGTAGTGGTCGTTGGTGATCGGTGGCCGTCCCCTCCAGACAGACAACCCACAGGTCAGCAGTGAAGGCCCAGAGGCAAGAGGGCAGCTAAGATCTAAATTCCTGTTACCCAACTGAAAGCACGTGCTCTTTAAAAAAAAAAAAAAATTAATTCTGCTGTTCAGATGGCAGCGAAGCCAGGGCAGGTGTGAGGCCAGCAGGCTGCTCAGGTGGTGCGTGCCCACTGCCCACATGTGTCAGAAATCACATCATCTCCTGGCCAGCTATGGAATCCAGCAGTGTCTTGTCAGCTCTGGGGAAAGAGAGGGAAGAGAGGGATTTGGTTTGCTTTTATCTATTTATTTATTTTAATTGCTATTGATACACACAATAAAAGCTACATTCTTGCGAGGGAGGACTTGATTAGCAGCCCTGAAGGGTGGTGGCAGGTCCCTTACTCATTGGATGTACCTGGCGCTAAACCCTCAGCTGGAACTGCGAGCCCTAGCTATGTCTCAGGTGTTTCTTAGTCTACTATGAATTATGTTTAGGAACTAAAGGGCTTTTGTATCGTTCACAAGTGGGGGAAAAGAGCAGAGGAGTTGTGTGAGAGGCTATTAAAAATGAGGAGCCATAGTTTGGACAAAGTTTCTTGTTGGTGTGAAGAAAGGAGGAATTTTTTTCAGTTCTACCTGCCAAAGAGGCTTTTCTTATAGTTTGTTTTCATTTGGAACTACTAATAACACTGATTTTTGTAGGGAATCATCTCATCGCACCCCCTCATGGGATCCTGCAATACTCCAATTCAGAAATAATGTTTTTCTCCTTGGAATAGCTTTTTATATTAAGCTTATTTGAAGATAGAAAACTAAGATCTGAATAGTAGCTTTTAATAGCCCCATAAAAATAAGTGAAATATCTTTAAGTTTAAATTTGAACAATATCTAAAACTTAAAAAGTATTTAATATGTCAGCATCTTTGCAATACAAAAATAAACACACTGAATTTCATTTTATGCCTTTTTACTCCCAAGGCCAGGTGATACAAATATTTCAATTTGTGTCACTTTCTAGCTATGGAATTTATAAAACAGCTTTCATTTTCTATGTAAGTTTTTAAGCTTAATTTTTTCAGGAAAAAATAGATCTCAAGAAAAAAAGTGTTTGGGATCATAAGTTAATAACATGTCCTATTGGTAAAGGAAGTTGAATAAGAGTCCAAACTAATGGTTAGAATTGTGTAATATTTGATTAGCCATTTGTTAAAGAACAACGAAACAAAACAAACACTGAGTTGCCAGAATCCTACCTAAGATGCAGATATTAATTAGAACTAGCAAGTCGAAGTTGCACAGGTGGGTATAAAATGAATTTGGGATCCCTAACTGGGAAATGCTGAAGTTCACGCAGACGTATACACACACTTTTTTTTTTTTTTTTTTGGTAGCTCCCTCGGAATCATTTGTTTACAGTCTGGCCAGGGTTGTGGCCTCCAGTACTTCCCCTAAGAGATGGGACCTTTGCCTAAAAGTTACTGAGAAACGAAGGCTGCAGAAAGCCGGAAAATGTCCAAGCTTTTAATGCACACTGACAGCCAAACAGAACGCTCTTTCCGTTTGCAGTTTTTTTTAGTGTCATTTTAAGTTGCAGCTTCCGGCCAATCAGCGCGCTTCATGCCTGCTGACATCACGAACCAGCCAGTTCCCTCCAGCTGCAGAGAGCTTCAGTTTGCCTTTTTTTTTTAAACTAAAATGGAGGCTGGTTTCTTGCCTTAAGGAGCCCATTGCCTTTCCCGCTGAAGTCTAGATGTTGACATGTAATAAAGCGGGCAGCAGGATGGTGGTGGATGCGGCCAACTCCAATGGGCCTTTCCAGCCCGTGGCCCTTCTCCATATTCGAGGTAAGTTATTGTGTGTTTCACTGAATCGGAACCTTCCGTGGGTAGTTAATAAATGGCTATTGTGCTTCAGATAAGAAAAGCAGGAAGTCCTTTCTAGCAGAATTCCCCCCATTTCGCTGCAGACTGAAGCAGAGGAGGTTGGGTGTGTCACTGCAGTTTGGCATTTTACGAACTACTTACAGAATTTGAGGCTTGAAAGAGGCCTTGCATGCATAGTTCAAAGCTGGTTTTTCTGCTTTCTCCTCGCTCTCCCATCCCCCTTTCAAAGCTGTGCTGATGTCAAAGGATGTGAAGTCACTGCCCAGGGAAGGTATTGGGTGGGGGTAGGAAGGAGAGGCGGGCCCGTCGCGCCTGGCCAAGTTGTCCGTACGCAGAGTTTCTGTTACATCTGTGTTGCTTAATGCTGCAAAGGTTTTGTCGAGGACACATCTCAGAATTAAAGATGAATTGCAGTCAGAAAATATGCACAATGAATTGGAAAAGAACTTCCTTTAAAAGGATTGTTTTCATTCTTGCCGTAGAGCCTGAGAGAGAAATATGCTCCACTTTGAAATACTGAAATCTGTCCTGGGTCATCGTTTTTGAAATGTTAACGTTTTCGTGGAATATTAGGAAATATTTTGCATTTAAATAGGCTCTGTATTGCCATTTGACTTTTAAAATGTTAAATGGCAACAAGTTTTCAAGGTATATGGAGATCACTATTAATAATTACAGTTTGCCTCTTTGTATGCATATTTTGGTTTCAAAACTGAGCCTAAAAGCACAGCTACTCTAGTAATTAATAGTGGTTATATTGAACCACAGGCATCAGGGTAGTAGCCTACTTATTCTTGGTATTTTAAGATTATGAATTTTTTTGGTCATAATTGAGTGAAATAGAAAAATGATTTTAAGTTTCATCAGATCACTTTAGAATTTATAGTATCAGAGCTGTGCCCCAACAAAACTGTTTCTCAGAATCTCTTTTAAGGACGTGTTTAAGGAAGGGTGGGAGCAAGATTTCTAGGTGACTAATAATCTCTCTGACTAAAATGCCAGACCAGACTTTTCAGATCGCAGGGTGTACCAGGCACATGCATACCCAATCTACTGGAATAAAATGGGTGGTGCTTTTCTCTCCACACCATCTTTCATGAAGGTGGAAACCAGCATTCAATGACCACATTATAGGGCACGCTGTGAATTTATTGTTTTTGTAGTGCACCTAGTAAAAAGCAAAGGTTGCCTATAGGTAACATTCAGGTATTTTAGCTGCAAGAACCAAATGGGCAAGAATAAAATGTAATTGTTTGGATTTAAGTTAAATAGTTTTTGTTTGTTTTTTGGGAGACAGGGTCTCACTCTGTCACCCAGGCTGGAGTACAGTGGTATAATCACAGCTCACTGCAGCCTCCACCTCCCGAGCTCCGCTGATTTCTCCCACCTCAGTTTCCTGAGTAGCTGAGACTTCAGGCACACACCACCATGCCCAGCTAATTTTTTAATATTTTTTGTAGCGATGGGGTTTCGCCATGTTGCCCGGGTTGGTCTCGAACTCCTGGGCCCAAGCGATCCTCCCACCTCGGCCTCCCAAAGTGCTGGGATTACAGGTAAGAGCCACTGTACCCTGCCAAGTTAGTTCTTAAAAACGAACTAGTTAGCAGTAAGATAAATTGACTGCATATAAAATGTAAATTTTTATACTTTTAAGGTATCCACTTACAAATAACATAAATCTTTTTGGTTTGAGTTTTCTGGTTTTTATTAGATGCCTAATATACTACTCAGTTTTTGAATTATGAACTTATTCTGAAATAGAATCATGTCGTGTTGTATCTTGAACCACATTGATTTTCTTTCTTTCTTTCTTTCTTTTTTTTAATTCCAAGACCTTATTATGGTCAGTTTGGATTTGTTACTGTTGGTTGGGTAGTTTGTTGCTTGCTATATAATTGTGGAGGGAAAAAGTAGTGAAATGTATTAGCCTGAAAGAGACTTGGGTTTTTGATAACCTATGGAGACCTAAAACTAACTTCTGACTCAAACAGTGGGGGTGATTTCTAACTTCAAAATTTGAAGAACGCTTGACTTACTCATAAAGACTTTGTGCAGCAAGCACGTTAATGTGAGAGTTAGCAAAATTTGATTTATTTATTGGGCCTTAGAGTCTTAGCTTAACATCCATTGAGCAGCTCCTGTGTGCCAAGTGCTGAGGATCATTGAAGTGATTAAGTCGCAGCCTCTGTCCCAAAGGAGCGAATGGTTACATGGAGAGGCCCAGCATAGGAGCTCTGCTACGAGAGGGCTAGAGCAAGAACGCACCGGCAGGGTGCCGGGGAGAGCAGGGGCTGGTGGTGTGATGCCCGGAGCAGAAGGAACCGAGGAGGGCTGCGCCCTGGGCTACCCTGCCCACACGGATGGGGCAGGGATGCACTGTCCTTCCCGTTTATTTAGGGAGGAGGGGTCTTTCCCACTGAAGGAGAAATAACTCACCCAAGGTTACACAGCCTAGAAGTGGTGGAGCCAGAATCCAAACCCAGATTGTTGTGTTGTTTCGTTTTGAATCTTTTTTAAAAAATCATTTTAAAATAGGAATGTTGGCTGCTTGAAGAATATTTTGCTACAGGATTACAATAGTGGTATTTTCCCCAATGCCTTATCATTTATTTGGCTCGGTGGCCTCTTTTTGTGTAACAGTTTTGTACCTTGGGCTCATTTCTTAATCATTTTACAAATATTGATTGATCCATACCACATGCCAGGCAGGGTTCTAATGTGGATATGAGCAGGGGCTATGGCCCAGCTTTCCCAGTTTACCATCCGCCGGGGTGGGGACCAAGTAAGCAAGTAAAGTGATCACCTGATTTGTTGTCACGATCGCTTTGTTACTGTCTACCAAGTAGTCTGGAGTTTGCGATTAAAATGGCGAATTTGCATAACCTAATAAGTTCAAGTGTGAAAGGGACATATTTTTGAGGGTTAGTGTAAGGCCTTCTGTCTGTAGAAGGAGAGTCACCTGGAACTTGATGACTGTGAATGTGGCTTGGTGACGTCAATCCTTACCCTCAGCCGTGTCCAGGAGACCTGCCTGCTGTGGTGGAAATGTTCTGTGCAGTCCTCTGCAGCAGCCCCTGGTCAACTGCGACTGCTGAGCACTTGACATGTACAGCTGAGAAAGTGAATTTTTAACTGTAGTTATTGTAAATGTAAGTGGACACACATATCTAGTGGCTACGATATTGGACAGCACAGTCCTAGACTGGAAGTGTTCAACTTTTTTTGGAAAAGGGCCAGATTGTAAATAGTTCTGGCTTTGTGGGTGAAAGCAGCCATAGACAGTAAATGAATAGGCCTAACTGTGGTCCAATAAAGCTTTATTGACAAACAGGTGACAGGCTGGATTTGGCCCATGGGCCATAGTTCACCCACCCTGTTCTAGACTGCTCTTCGACTTTTGGAATTGCCTGTTAAGGATAGGAAAGCATGTTTCCTGCAGGCCTTGGGTCTAGTGCCTCCTCCCTATGCTGGGAAGCTGAGCCAGCTGTGATGCTGTGAGGCGTGGTGGGCGGGCCTGCTTCCCACCCTGCAGCACATGCTCACTTCAGGAGCCAGGTTTAAGGCAGTGACAGCCAAGCCAGAAAGATGGTAATGGCCAGAGAGGAATCACACAGTTTTGAGCCTTTTCCAGCTGGCCTTTATTCTGGGCTTCAAGAATGTTATTAACTGCTCTCATCTTGTTCTAGTCATTAGCAAACTTATCCAGTGGATGAGTCTGTCTTTGAAAGACTCAGGAGTAGCTCCAGCCTGGTGGGATGTTGGAGAACAAATCATTCTTTTGATGGAAACCCATTTTTTCTTGGGAAGTGGAGGTCTAATGGAAAAGTTTATTTTCTCACAAGTACTTCCTGAGTCACCAGTTTGTTGAAGGTCTTCACCTTTCCAATAAAAATTCATTAAAAAACATGCAAGAAGCAAGCATAGAACTCAAACCCCATGGTTTTCATTTCCTGCTGCACTAAATCTGGTGACTTAACCTACATTAATAATAATAACAATAGCTATTATACATAATGCACATGGGTTACTAAATTAGTAACACACCTGCATGGTGTGAAGTCAGTAAGTCCTAGTGAGAATGGGTGCCCCTTGTTACCTTTATTCCCTAAAATTAGGAAGGAAAAATGTTTGAATGATGACTAAACAGATTCTTCAAATGATTAAACCGGTGATTCTCTGAACAGTGCCTCAGCTCAAGATTTTTGCTTCATAAACATCTATGTACTATGTAACTGTAGCCCTCTGCAAAGTGACCTTATAGAAATACAGCCTTAACCTTAAACCTGTATCTTATCCTGTGTCCAATCCTGTTTCCTATATATGAAGTTGTTTCTTCTGTATTCCTGGTGGTATGGAAGGTAACCAGAGTAACAGATAACTCTCTGAGGAAACGGGTGGGTATGTTTGTGTAAAGTCTGTACACCTTTTTGTTCGTTAAACACACACGCACATTTATGCTCAAACACACTCTCATCCACCTCCCTTACCATACGCTCTCAATCTCAGAGGCAAAAACAAAAACTTACCATTCAACTTGGGTCTGATGTCTGCTCAGGAGGTTTTGCCTTGCAGCAAAAGCTATCTTCTAAAATTTTTTCATTAAAGTATGTTGTGTAGAGAAATGAAAGAAAAATAAAGATAAGGTTATTAGTCAAGAATAGGGTGTGTGTTTTTAAACCCAGGAAAAGAATAGACAGAAACACAAAGACAAAGTGGTTTGGGATACATCCTAACTTTTGGTTCCACATGTCAAATGAAATTGCAAGGTGGTTCTTTTTGGATCCTACAGCACTTTGCCAATTATGACAAGCTGTTATGAACGCTCATGTACTTCTTCCTCCCAGCATTCCTGCCTGGCAGGTGAGCAGGACAATCCTAGCATTTCCCCTCCCCAAGGTCACCCAGCCTAGAGGGCCCAGTCCAGGGCTGTTGGCAGCACTGAGTATGAGGTCCCGAAGCTGCTGCTGGTGGCTGTCCCAGAGGAGAAGCAGTGTGCATTGAGTGCCTTCAGTGTGCTGGGTCATGGCTGAAACCCTGTACCTCTGTTCTCTCCCTGAATCTGCCCAGCACTGTGAGGCATTATAATCCTCCCCCACTCACTGCCACCCCTGCCTTCCCCCCCCCCCGGGAGAAAAAAAGGGAGCCTCTTGCCCAGGGCCACCGAGAATGTAGTGAAACAAGATTTGAGCCTCAATCAGTCTGATAGCAAAGCTCATGTTCTTTGCTCTGCAGACATCAGGGTGTTGAGA